GTACCCGAAGCTATCAAATTTTGAATGTGGCGCGGAGCAACGGTGTGATTTGCATAATAATTTTTGACTGGATGTTCTTGCTGCACGTGTCTATGCATCAAGAACAAGGGTTGTTTACCGCAAACCTCAGCTGAGGACTTTTGGCACTTGTAAGGTTAATTAAAATTTTGCAAAAAATTAAATACAGGGGCGCTTTCCATTCAAGCAAATAGTACGGAAAAGTATCCAGAAATCCCGGAAGCTGTTGAATTTCCGAAATGTGAACCATTCAATTGAAAATTCTAAAAAAATCCCAGAGCAAAGTTGAATAGAAGGAACACTTCCGGTAAAAAAAATCGAAAACTTGGGTATACCTCGCGTGGTTGTCCTCTTTTTTGGAAATTTTGGAAACCGTTGTTCCATTCGTTACAGGAAGCTACCGAAAACTCAAACCGGACGTTTTGGGTGAATGGAAATAAAACGCCCAAGGTCTTTGGATAGTGAGCTATTTGTAGGGCAAAAAAAGCTGTTATATTTGGTTGTGAAAGAAAAACTTACAACTTCTTCGCTCGGACCACGTGACCTGAAACGCATTGACCGCGCGGAATGGCATGAGGCCTAGGGACTAGGCAAGGTCGACCTAAATTAAGTAAGATCGTGTGTTGAGTCAGAAGTCGAACTTAGGACTTGGGACTTGATTCGTCTCATGAAAAGTTTGACGTTTGGCGTAGGCCTAAAATGCGTAATAAATTCACTTAATTGTAGGACCGAAAGCCCTTTTTCAAGCTCATCTGTCGAAGTGTAATTTGTCAAAACTAGTATTACAGTAAGACATACTGTATTCGTTTCCATTGAAAACAGTTGGGGTTGTAATTATTTATTCCAGTCTGAGTTGTCAACACGCACCGGTTAACATACCTGGTTGGAAGGTAAAGGAGTTTCCTTACAAAACTTGGCGAACTGTTTACATGAGAGACAAAAAGCGGTCTCGAGTATAGGAGTGACTCGCCTAGCAGGGTAACCCTTTTTCGATGGTATGGTTACCCGCCTAGATAGCCGGTCCAACTTCTCTCCATATAATTAACACTTTGGCTCGCCCAGCCAGGTAAACTCGGTCAAGGCGAAACAATCAGAGAATGCGTGAACGCTGTTTTATACAATCTAACTAAAGTTTACTTGGATGGGAGGGTCCCGGAAAAACGTTTCTTCTGATACACGGGTCATTTTCAAAAAATGCGACATGTCATGCAAAAAAGAAGAATTTTTGGACACGGGATCTAGATGACCTGTGTCAAGCAAGAGGGATGGCGGCATGAAACAAAAAAAATTATGTCGGCACACGGTATTTCCTGAAAACCCTATTTCGGCCTATATATTTTGGTCCCTTCTCCTCAGTCTTTGTAAATGGGTCTTTTGCATCATTTAGTCACCTGATCTGAACATTCTAAAAACACGAAGAACACTTTTAATTAATTTAGAAAAATAATTTCAGCAGGAACTAAAAGAGCGTAGATAATAATTTAAATCAACAGCACTTACTTCCAAAAAGAAGGTAGATTGCAAAAACCATACATCCTGTAAGTATGCATGACAAGTATCATCGTCAGGAAGTATCATCGTCAATCAAAATTATTTAATTATTTATCAGCGTCGCAAATACAAGTTCCGGAAGCGCTTTAATTTTCTTTGCATTTTTTCATGAAATACAAAAAGTTGAAATATTCATGATTGGCTATGAGAAATCTACACCTTCATTCGGCAGCGTGCAAAGAAAGTTATGTCCGATTGCCCAGGGGGTGAGTGGATTTTGCAATCGGGCAAGTGAAGTTTTTTTTTTTTTACCAAATTTTAAAATTAGAATAGTAAGCCAGTAATCCTTAAAGGCAGGAAGAGTGGTAAGAAAAATAAAGAAAACAACAATAAAATGGTGCATTATTACATTTGCCCGATATTTCGGCTTGCAACACAAACCTTTAATGGAGGACTATAAAAGCAAAATGAATATAGGTACAAGATGAACGTTACATGCATATATGCGAGATTTGAATACATAGCAAACAGAACATGATATATAGGCTACTGACTGTAAAAAGATAAATGTCACTAATTGAGTTTATCACGACTGTACTACGCTAAGGTCTCTAGTAATGTCGTAGCTTTGTCGATGAGGTCAGCCTGGCGTGCCTTTCTGACCGGTTGCTACGGATTAGGATGTCGTTGATAGAGTGATCGGCTTGATTTAAATGTTCAGAGACAGGGGTAGAATTAGGAAAGTGGCCATAGTTGAGGATGGAGCGACGATGTTCCCCAAGACGTTCGTGGGGATGACGCTTGGTCTCCCCAACGTATTGTTTGCCGCATTTTTTACATTCAATAAGGTAAGCTATATAAGGTGAATTAGGTTTTTGGATTTGCATTTTTTGCGGAGCTATTAATGCTTTAACTTCAGACCAGTCGGTTTGTCTGGGATGTGAACTTTCATGGCAAGTTTCAAGACACCTTATTTTGCCATTTTTCAATCCGGAAAGAACAGAGTCAATGGAAGGCCTCATTGTGAGGAATGCTACCAATCTAGTCAAAAGTGCTTGCTTACTAACCTTGGGAGACACTTGGAGGTCAGACCTTTCCCTTGTTGGTTTTCCAAATTTAGTCAAACACTTTGTATTCAGTGTTGATGAACTGAGGACACTTCTTGAATCTTATAAGAAGTTATATCCTGGACAAAAGGTTGAGGTCACCTCAGACATTGAAAATGGTGTATTTATAACTCTACAGATCAGCTTCTATATTGTTAGGTCGTCTCGTTCTGTTACTTTCATTACCTTAACTTTTTCCTGCCTAGAACAGCGTGTTTTGCTAATTTGCCTGGTGATTGTATTGTAACTTAAGTACAATGTGGCTATGTTCATACATTACTGGACCTCTTTTCGTGGCGCCACGAAAAGCTATCTACTATAGTGTGAACACGTTTCCGATAGGTGACTCTCCGCTTTAGAGGTTGGTGCGCGCAGCTGCGCTCCGTTACAGCCGTTGTTGTGTGTGAACAGAAGCTCTATCGGCTATGATTTTCGTGGCGGCGCAAAAACCCGTACCCGCCATAGTGTGAACACAGCCTGTGAATAAAGTTCGTTCGTTTGAATATAGGCCACTTACTCTAAGAGGTCACGTGACTAATGCTTCCTTTAAATAATGAGTTAGAATCTTGCTGATGCCAAAAATTGACGGAGCACATAAAAATTATCTTATACCCGAAATTTGAGAGGAAACACATGAAGGGAGATATTTTATGGCACTTTGATTTTTCAACAAAGTAGTATGATTGTATTGGCCGCCATGATGGAGGGCATACTCTTGCCCTCCAACATGGCGGCCAAAACTACTTTTTGCTTATATCTTGCCCTCCAACATGGCGGCCAAAGCTACTTTTTGCTTATATCTTGTTAAACGTTTGATAGTTACGCTCAGATGTGCTGTAAACGTTACCACATTTCAACATTTTACTTGAAGTTTAAGTGCAAAACTTGTGTTCAGAAAGAGGTAATACTTAATTTTAAAAGTCACATTTTGGTCACGTGACCAGCTACGAACTTACTTACTTTAAGAAAATGGTGCGGGTTTGAAAACCCAAATCACATTATTTTGTTTGAGATATGACCCACTAATCGTTTTTCGAAGGCAAAATCATATAACTTTCATTTTCATAAAAACGATGTCTCATGATCTCGCAGTGCAAATGGCCTATTGTCTATTAGAAAACGCATAGCCATCGGATGTACATACGAGTAACACAGGGCCGTAACTAGGTTTCTGTAACGGGGGGGCATTATCGCGAGTGCCGAAGGCACGAGCCTTTTAGGGGGATCTACGGGTATCCTCCCCCAGAAAATTTTCAAGTTTAGAGGCTCCGAAACGCTATTTACAGCACTTGTCATGAGATATGTCTCCCGAAATATCGACCTCGAACCTGAGAATGGCAAACAATTGCAAGTCACTATAATCAAAATATCTGAGTCTAAAGAAAGCAACTCCATCCACGGACTTGATGTGTCTCGCTCAACAGGTCCAGGGAGGCAGCTGCCCCCCTTGCCCCCCCGCTAGCTACGGCTCTGTAACAGTAACAGTAAAAGTAACGGTAAATGTAGCGGCCAAAATCGTTGCGTTCACCCCAAAACATTAACATACATTGTAATTATCACTTGTATTCTATGAGCTACATCACTCCCAGTGGCTTCCGATAGAAAAGCGTAATTTTTACGATCCTTTTTAATCCTATAAATGTTGAAATGGTTTTGCCCCTTAATATTTCTCCGACCTAGGACACACAGGACTTCCATCATCACCAGCAGCTAAAAGAAGGTGCAACAGAAGTGGACGGTCAGTGCCACAAGTTTTGCATTCCGTTGAGTCTTGTACAAGTTGGCACATTTTGTGGCCGTCAAATGCAAGAAAGAACATAAACTAGACGAACACTCTCCTTCGCAGAGGCTAGATTAAGAATACGCAAGGTGTTGACAGTTAGTAGACTACGAGTTTAAGTCAGTCTATGAGTACAGAGCGCGCAAAACGCGAGCGCGAAATTCGTCTGCAAAGGAAAGTGTGCTCAAATGTTCTTATGGTCCTAATTGCTTTGATATTCTTTGTAAAATACTTCCTCCGGCGAAATTCATCGCCAAAAACATTTCTTGATAGACAAACGGCAGCAAAAAAGTGATCGCTTGATGACGTCATTGCGGGTTTCAATATATCCGTGTTTGTGCCTACCAGTGTCAAATTATAAGCTTCGCAATAAATTATATCGCGTGACAAGCAAGGTGAAATCAACACACTCGGTAATCTCCAGAATGTTTCTAAGACAAAGATTCCAAACCTAACTCGTTGTCAAAATGTCTGCTATCGAATACAATAATTTGGTTTTTAATACAATCCAGAGATTGAGGGAGTTGAATGTAGGAGAACAGTTACGCTTCATGTGCAGAGGAAAGTTGGCGCCCCGCGACGAACAAAACTTAGACCTCTTCTTGATGTTCGAAGAATTGGAACAGAATGGATTTTTAGGTCCTGACAAATTGGAAGTTTGGAAAGATATATTGAAAGGCCTGAAAGAATGGCCGCTTTTTGGTAGTGTAAAGGCGTTTGAGATTAAAAGAAAGGAGTATAGCGGATTACTAGAAAGAATCATTCTTGTTCTCGACGAGCTCGATTGTTTGGAAGAATTGTCCGCCATTTACAGTGATCGAATACGGGAAGAAAAGCATGGAAGCATACAAGATATAAGATCACTTTTTAAGGAGCTGGAGGACAATGATTCTTTAGGATTTGACCAACTCGAAGTCGATTTTGACCCGAAAAGAGAAAACTGATCTGCTTCAGGAAGTGGAGGAGTTTGAAGAAAGAAAAAATCATGATCAAGAGGATGAATTTGAATGGCGAAAAGGTAAGTCCAGTTTCCACTTACTTAGTGTGTCTTGTGGCTTTACCTTTCGATTTATTAACTTTTTTAAGTCTATAATGGCAAAGTTCGCCGCTATGCTTGTATATTCAAGTAAATGCACTGAACTGAATGTGCCACGCTTTATTATTTTTCTTCAGCACAAGCAGCTGCGATTGCGTCGTCCGCTAGCAGCAATTTATAGCTGGAGGTACGTTTCAGAAGTTTCGACTGTTGCGAGATCCAGGAGCCATATTTAAAACGAGATCGATCAATTCTTTGAAAAATAAGAAAGCAGATTCAGGGCGCAAATCGACTATCATTTGAGAAATAAGTTAGTATAATTATCGTTTCAGTTTGACAAATAAGATGCTGTGACAAGAAAATAAAATAGCGATTTCATACTGATGTAAATACTTGTCACACTGGTTTGGATGAATGGTCTACATTCAAGGTATCTACATTTTTTTCTCTTTAATTAAATCTAATTTCATGAACGTATTTTAAAAAATTGCTCAATTAATTCTATATGATCAATAAAAGCATTTTTCATGCTTGCCGAATTCCTAGACAAAAAATTTCGAGTTGAACCTTCATTAGAAGCCAAAACGGGGCAAATCTAGGCTTTGGAATGCCTAATATAAGTTCTTTCTGATTTAACTGATTGGTATACTTGGTGAGATGTTAGTGCAGTTTTTACTGGAAGTGGTTGTCACTTTCTTTCGTGATTTTCAGTTCTGAACATAAAGACTGTGTTCAAATTGGCTGCAGGTGGTGTATTTATAGCTTCTGCCTATCAACTGCTGAAGCGAGGCTGCACATATGATCAATTGGTAACTGCTGTTAATACCTGCGTCCTTCCTGCTGGTGTTAAATTGATACAAATAACTGAGGGAAGCGTGATCCTCAAAGTTCAAGCAGAAGATGTTTCCACTCTCGACACTTTGTGGAGTTTGTACAAGGATGGAACGCTCAAAGAATCCCTGCAAGCCTTTTTTGTTAACGATGAAATGCGAGAATTTGCAGGTGAAGAGCAAGTGGAAGTGATTGTGACCATCGACGAAGAAGAATACGAAAAAGTCTGGACAGAGCTTATCAAAATGAATGAAGCTAAAGGTGACTTCAATATTTCTGTAGCAGAATTTATTGGCAACTGCGGGGAATCGACCGCCAGTCAGTGTTTTCTTCAGTTTTAAATGTTTAAAAAATAAATGGTTGCAATTCCAAAACCAAACATGTTGATCTTTTTTTACCGCAACGTTCTTGTCTCACTATTCTGTGAGAAAACTTCTTTATCAGTCACATTTCCAAAATCAAGTTATTGCAACTTAATTTTTTTAGTTTAGGGTTAGATTGATTTTTTTTTCTTATTGTATATATGAAGGTCGCGATGAATGGCAGGAGAAATTTGGTTACATCCTGAGTTATTTGGAGCAACCTAAGGACTACAGCGATTCACCCAGTACTACAACCGAAACAAGCGATAGTGGAATGCCGAGACCACATAGTGGTGCAGCTTCAGAGCTTGGAAGTGAAGAAATCAGTGGTAAGATACGCCAGATATAATAAAATTGTTACGTGCCAGACAACGGTGAGTTATACTAATGCATTAGCAAATCAAGGGTGATTCGCTTCTTTTTATTGGGCATCTTGATAAGATGAGGTGGTTGTAAAGCAAAGCTTCGTTTTAAAATAAGGTCCATCAAAAGAAAAAAGTCACCGAAAATTTCGGTCAACCGTTCGTGTACCGTGTATTAACGAAAGAGGGACGCTGCTAAATTATTGAACTCAATTTCCTCAGCTAATTCCACTACAATTGGCAAACTCCAACTTAGTGCTGTTGCGCCCTGATTGCTTTATCTCGATGTGAATTTCTTAAAATTGCATTTTTCAACGATGACTTCCACCTTCAAGCAACATTTTGTTTTGAAACTCGTCCCAGTTCTCAATGTAAAAAAGAATACCTCTTAGTGGTGTGCACTTTCTGCAGTTACGTTCTACCGTGGCTATATCTAACGAGCTCAGTGACCCCATTATTTAATTGATGATTTAAATAAGAACAGTGATTTCTTAAATTAAAAAGATGACAATGACTGACCTTTTGGCAAATTAACTAAATTGTGCTGGTTAAGCTATAATGAACTCAACAACGCATGCCCAAATTAAGTCTGACTTGGAGCAATTAGTCAAAACAATTGTATTCAAATGCATTTTTCTGAGGCGTAGGTTGATATCGCAGGCTTTATGGAAAACATTAATTAAAACCTGTTTGTCTAGTTCTCGGTTGAAATGCAGCTATTTCGTGACAAAGCGTCCATTTCGCCGTATATACCGTGGAAACGAGCATGGTGACCCCTCTTTCTGAGTATTCTAAGTTTTATTTATTTTCTTTTTTACTTGTTACAACAGCGTACCAAGTTACATTGCAACAATTTCGGCCTGAAAAGTGGGGCGAGTTTCAAGATCAACTTCTTTTTAGCCGGGAAGAGCTATCGTAATCGCCGTTAAAGCTTTTGTTCCCTTTTTTTAGGCGACTGGTGAAAATCACCGCTAGCTTTGATGTCTTATGGTTATGCGCAGTAGTAGCCTGTCCCAGGCTCCGACATACTCAGGTCCGCGAAACTGAGAAAGGGCGAACACGAAAATAAAACGGGAGGAAACTGAGGAGAGGAAGGGCGGCGGAGCCTGTAATTAGGGAACTTAAGCACCAGACGTCCTTGATTCACCAGCGGCATGGCTGGCCGCGCAGAACTGGATCGGGGACGCAGTTTGCGAGTCAAATGCAAATCAGTATTAAGCAAAACAACGTGAAACCATTACGAACGCCGACAGAATAATTCAGTTGAAAATGTCTTTCAAAGTTTTGTTTCTTTCTTACGAAGAAAAGATGATTTCAGACGAAGAATTTCTACTTTTGTATGACGAATACTCTTCGAAGAACCCAGAATTTGAACCTCTGGTTTCAACCTGTCTTGACATGCGCAGAGGCTGTCATGCTGCAAAAATACTTCCGGTTTGCGTCCGTGGTACCAAGAACGTCTGTCTGGTGCTTAAGTCCCCTGTTATTTCTTTAAACGGCCTGCTTTGGTATACCAGCTCCTGGTATACCCTCTGATTGCTCAGTTTTGACAGTTAACATCATCCCCTAATTGCAAGAGTCGTTATGGAATATCGACAACCAACGCGAATCACGCGTGTTATTAAAAGGCCATCCCCCGGGCCTCTAGGCTAAGTGCTCAGCCTTTGACATGGAGATTTTTCATTCTTACGCAAATAAAAGTCATTTTCACAAGGAAGGTTGTACATACGTACGCTTGGCCTCATTTTTAAAGTGAGTGTTTTTGGAACTCGGAAGTGGACTATTAAGAGGAATACACGATACATTGTTTCTTACTGATGGTTTTGACGACTGTCTGCGAGATATCTCGGACAAAAAAGGATCTTAGAAAGGGGCAGAAATCTCGACTGTCTTCTGAGCTTGACTCGGGAACCTACGGGGAAAAGAAGTTTCGCGATTATGCCTTCGGTCGCGGCAAAAGTTTAATTTTTCAACGCTTCCCAGGTCTGGAAAAAGTCGCTGGCATTTAAAAAAAATCTATAGTACTTCGCCGCTCATCTATGGATGAGACCAAGCAGTCCATAGAAAGAGCGTGGATTTTCAGCTGCAGTCATTTGAAACGGTGAAGAAGTAGAGGAGGATAAGGAAAAAGCGGGAGATGGCAAATATTGATTCAAAAGTATTAAAAACTGCGAAATGAGTACAAAATGTACGTGTAATAGCGTCTTGTCACGCTCCAGTACAAGGACTCTAGTTATCTAAAAAAGGTATCATTATCGATAACTGGTGATGCCTCGATGTCAGCTGTAATTCTTGCTTTTTTTCGTATTTTCATCTGTAGATCACTTTTCATGGCAATTTTACTGCCTGACTGACTCTAAATTGTTGGGCCAAGCATAACAAAGTAAGGCTGGGAATCATTACATTCACGAACAAATCAACTAGTGACCAACTAGTGACCACTAATACATACTCACTAGTACATACAGTTATTTGGATCCACGCATTTCAGAGAACCGGTTGGTGAGGCTAAGTTAGGCTAACGGCGTCAGTCAAACAGCTTGCATGAAGTAAAAAACTCAGTAATACCTTAAGTCTGTGACCAGCAGGCTCCGCACTGGGGAGAAAAAGACGCCGATATTTTTCCTATTTGACCCCGTTTTCTGCCTTTTTCCCCCACTGCGGAGCCTAGTCCCAGGCCCAAGTAATACCAACTGCTAGAACCAAAGCCCCTGAGACCAAAACCACAGGAAATCAATAAACGAAACGGACCAGCTTCAACAAGCGGCAACGACTATAAATGATTATTATGTACTCATGAAGCAAAAAATTCCTGTGTCACTTCTGCACAGACTTAACAATTGCCGAAATTTCTAAACGCTGAAAAAATGAACCTTTTTGAATGAAAAGATATTCGTTCCACCACAAGCCTAATGGCTTTGAGGCCTTAAAATATCAACGTAGACTTTGTGTATGCAAATCAATAATCAGAAATAGAATCTCACCAAACAACTCGTAAGACGCGATAGCGTACGAGATTAATTGAAGCCTCGTTCACTTGGAACGATGGATTGGGAGATTCGCAGACGGTATTCCTCACATTTGCGGTGTTCAAATAGCGCGAAATACTTGCGCGGGAAATGAGAATCGAGTGATTCTAGCAAATTAAAATTTGACAGTTTGACAGCCGAATCCAGACGTGACAATAATGGGTAGAAGAGGGTCGTAAAAGAAATGATCACAGGCTCTCTCTCCCATCCTTTTTCCCGCCACTGCCGCCTTTTCCCAGATCACGCTCTTATATTTTCGCTTGCCTACTAACGCGTCATCCCCACTATCTGAGACCCTAGAAGACACTAGCGCAGTAAGTGATGCGCAGTTTCAAGACAAGGGAATTGCCTTAATAATAAGAATTAAAAAAGGTTGAGTTTGATCGTCCGGGTGAACGTAGTCCTGAATAGGACTGTTGTTGTTGACAGTGACTGAGGTTTCGACAACCTGTGCGGTAGTCATCTTCAGAGTCAAAGTGAGTTGTATCACGTTTCGATCCGTCTATTGTCGCAGTTAAACAGTCGTCTATTGTTAGTCAAATTGTTAGTTCTCCAGTTGTTCTCTCGTAGTTAGTTTTGCTTGATCTCTCGTCAATAAGTCGTTTGTACGGCGCTGGTAACTGTTGACTACGATTCAGTGGCGTTTTTTCTAAGTTAGTAAACCAGCTTTCTAAAGTAAGACGTTGATAGTAGTCTGTAGAATACGTTATACATGTCGCAGAGTCCCAGTCAATTTGATGTTTCGTCTTTAAATGGTGTTCAGCAATGTGATTGTTGACGTCACCATTCCTCGTCGCGCGTTTGTGTTCGGTCAGTCGCGTGCTTAGGTTTCTGCCGGTTTCACCAATGTAAGAAGCCTGGCAGTCGCAGCATTTGATCTTGTATACTGCTCCCTGTCTGTCCTCCGGTTTGTCTTTGTCCTTGACATTAGTAAGCAGTCGCCGTAAAGTAGTTAAAGTTTGACTAACAATAGACGACTGTTTAACTGCGACAATAGACGGATCGAAACGCACCAATCACTGATTACGAGTCTTCATAGCCAATAACATCACGGCTTAACTGACAGACGACCAATAACATCGCGACATAATTGACCAATCAGATCAATAACCAGAGTATAATACCATCAACTGACGTGATACAACTCACTTTGACTCTGAAGATGACTACCGCACAGGTTGTCGAAACGTCAGTCACTGTCAACAACAACAGTCCTATTCAGGAATACGTTCACCCGGACGATCAAACTCAACCTTTTGAAATGACTCCTGGGTTCAAACCTTTCACAATAAGAATTAAGGGAGCAATTAAGTATCGTTGAAACAACAAAGATTGAGAGCAGCACTTTCGAGAAATATTTGGCCCATCCTTAGAATCCTAAAGTATGCGGTTGATTTAGCTCATCATAAATTAAGGGCTCATGAAGGACCCCCCCGCCCCCTTCTCTCATTATCGTCTCTAAATAAACAAACCATGCGCTCTGTCTGGTGGCCACGTCTTTTAAAATAAAACTAGTATTATGTTTCCTTTCTCCTAGGTTCAATTTCTAATCCTTGCTTAAAAGATCTAAGTAAACTAGTGATCGCAGAATTGGCAAGCAGACTTGAAATTGACTCAATTGCTTTTCGGCGATTTCATCAATCATTTGGGCTTGATCCTGACCAATTGCACCCTGAGTGGCTGCAGAATATTAGCGATCTCTTTCCCGACACCCCAGTTAAAGTGATGAGTAATGTTTTTGAAGAGCTGCAGCTTTATGACCTCGTAGAATTACTGGAGACAGGAAAACCACGAGCACTTGGCCCGGTTATTCCTCTGAGTGAGATGGAAAAGATACGAAATCCTAGTTATCGTCCCACAAAGTTTTGCAGTGAAACAGAGGTTCTGCTGATCAACTACTCTGAGGGTGGTACTGTGGGCAATATTACTCAAAGAATTGGATCGTTTTTTAAAGCTCTTAACTCACAAAGCAATGTTACTACATTGGAGGCAAAGGGTATGGCTGAATTACTTGAGAATCTTTTTATCTTAAAGAAAAGCATGTGTGAGGGAGAGAGCAATGACTTGGAAGAAATAAAAACGGAAGCTTTACTAAAAGAACATCTGAAGGAGATGAAAGCAAAACGTGTTAAAGATACATTTGTGTGGTCCACAATGGCGGGGCGCCCTGTCAGGGTTTTCTCCCAAAAGACACCAGACAAAGAAATATTGAGCAAACACTTGAAAGATGTGATTGAAAAACGACAGCAGTGGACAAACCAAATGAAACCGAAACTCGAAAGGGAGATAAAACAGAATGAGGAAGAACTGCAGAGAAAGCATAACAAACTGCAAATCACTTTGTCAGCTATCTTGGAAAAATGGATCTGCCATGCGAATGATGAAGGTTGGTTGAAGGGGCTATGCCAGGCTATTTGGTATTTTTTTTAAAAGCCAAAAAAACCTTTATTGCCATTATTGGCTGCTGTCCTCACAATTCGACAGAGAGGATTGCTGACTTTCGGTTTGTTTTTGAAACTCACTATGTCAAACAACCTCCAAACGGCCTAAATAGTTTTATCTCTACAGTTAACACTCTCTTTACCTCTATCTTCGTTTTTATTGTTCGAAGCGTTAGCGATTATTGGACAAACTATTTATAATAGAACCGACATGGCTTACAGGGGTTTTGACGTTAGGATACCTTCGTGCTTTGCGCCGTAGTCGCCGGCCTTCGAACTTTAAACGTTCAACAGTTTCAGTGTCTATGAATTCATGCGATCATGAAAAGAAGGACATTTGAATATCATTTGAATTAAGTGAAACAAAAAAGCAGATATTATAGAAATAACTTGCAAAACTTTGGTTCCATCTCTTTCGGTCATCTTAAGATCGATGCGGTACAAAAAAATCGTTCAAGTTTGAATGGCTGCAGGATCACTGTCCTTCGAGTAACTGTATCTTTCGATTTCACGAATCGAAAGACAGGAGTTAAAATAGTGCTGAGGAGCGGTTAAGGATACTTTCCCTTGTCTTTATAGGTAAGGAATCAATACTATTTGTGGTGCTTGAACATTTCCAGGACCTGCAAAAGTATGGAGTACCACTTGATACGATCATGAGGATGCGCAGATGGTTGAGTGAAAAGTTGACGCTCATTCCAAATGCTAAGCTTGTGATTGTCAGTGGCTTGGAAAGATGGAAAGCTGAACAACTGCCACGAGAAACCTTTGGCATATATTATAATTCTGTTGGGAGAGAGCTCACTATGGCCACACTATTGGAGCTACTTAACAAGCGTTGGCAAACATTAGACCTTGTCTCAGTCATGCAGGAATTGCAAAGGACACTAATCATCAAGAAAACGCCTCAGTACAAACTTATTGAAGGAAAGAGTGTGCGCTTTTCATTGAGCAAAGATGTGGATATATTTGACAATTTATCTTGTCTTCCAAGACTTCAGAAAAAAGAATAAATGACAAAGATTGGTGATTTACAAACCATGAGGACCCAAAAAACTTGCGAACTTCAAGTTTGTACTGATATTAAATATTCTCTTAAAAACACTGCAAGCTACTCTGGTGTTCATCGACTGTACTAACTAGAGGAATACAAGTGCAGTTCTGGAATCCTCTCTTATAGAACCGTTGCTGCAGTGACGCGCGTAGTTAATGGACGACAACCTCGTTTCCAGGGTCCTCTCCTACTCGTCCTCTCGTTCCAGGGAACGAGTTGAAGAGGACCCTGGGAACGAGGTTGAATGGATACTTTGAAAAAAATAAAATGGAAAGAGGCTTAGAGTGGCATTAAGCTGAGTGTTTCAGTAAAACCAAAGGAAAGGTAATTACTTTATATATCGACAATATATGTAGAAGTAGACTGATGGAACCGTATTAAATTTTGAACAATTTTTGTTGAGATGTTACACAATCAGTCCAACTCAAAATTATATGTAGTTCTTGAGTAACACGCAAGTAAACACGAAATAATTATGGTTTCATTCATGGTTGTTTGGGAGGAAAAGAAAGAGAACTAAAGCAAGTAATACAATAGCGTTTTCTTCGGCTACGTGTGGTCAGAATGCAAGTCATTCGTGTTAGTTCCATATAGTGTACCATACATGCAGTAAAAATCTAATGTTTCTATACCCTTGCTTACCATGTAAAAGAATAACAACAAAAAATTTTTCAAATATTAACGGCTGTTAAGCTGTGTGTAGACGGTTCACGAATCACCCCTTAAATAATGGACTTCAGTTTATTTCGAGACTGGTACCACTCACCCTATTAGGGTGGCAGACATGTCAACTTTACATGGAAAATGATCTCTGATAATGAGGCTTCCAGTCAGAAACAGCGGACTTGTTAAGCATACATATATTGAGGAAACTCCTGTACAAATACAGCTATCTCAAAGAAAGGTTGTCGAAAAAAATGTGTACGCGACAATCCCGAAAGGCAATATGGGATGTGATAATGATCGTTAATGCACTGTTCCTAACACTGCAGCTGTCGAACCTACTTTTGTAGAACTCGTAAACATACGTTCAAAGACTTTCGTGCCATTCTTTCAGATTTTTTTTGGAAGAAAAGTGAACTCAAAACCACCCATAATACCTTTCGGGATTGTCGCGTGCACTGTACCGACGACCTTTCTCGAAATAGCTGTATATAGGGTGACGGAAAGAGCGTAAAGAGGGATTTTTAACGGAATGTCTGAAGCTCAGAATTTCTAAATTTGAAAGACAGTCTTAACAGACACAAAGGACTTGTTGCCTGATCCCGAGAAAAGGCGGACAGTCAACTTCATCCTAGGCGAAAAAAAAAAAACAACAATCTACTACATTTGACTTTCTGACTTTCAAATTTGTACATGTAATGGTTATATGATCATTTTGTATTGGCCATTCCTTAACCCTTCAGTCCCTAAGAGTTACCATCTTCTTAAGGTCCTTATAGTACACTGCTCAAATATAAAAGTCATGAATAAAAAGGAAATGATCAAGCAGTGGAAAGATCTTGATTGTTAAACAAATTCTCTTCATCAGTACCATAGGTAATGGACGGAGAACCGCGTACAGAGTATGCATGAAGGTTTTAGGCTAAGCCCACACTATACCGGATAGCTTTTGCGCTGGCACGAAAACCCTACCGGATGCTTCAGTTCACACTCAAGAACGGTGATTTTGGCGCGATTTCTGTAACGGAACGAGGCGGTGCACGGCGCCGATCTCGAGAATAAAGCGTCACAAAATTATCGCATTGGTTCTGTGCCACACTTTGGTGTAGTGTGAGCAGGTATTCGGACTGTAGCGGAAGTGAATAAAGTAGTATAGGAAAGAGGACCGGAACGTACTGAGATGGTTGTAAATATTTGTTTGTTTGTTTTCCAAGTAAACTTTTATTGCCCTTTTTCATACTTGATGTTAAATAAATTGTAATTATATTTGTAATTGTAATCTGAACATAGCCTAAGAGTTTCCAGATGTCCATGTCCACAACCCTAAACTGTATATATTGACTAAGACATTTAGTTAGGTCGCTTAGTGTATTTATCGTTCCAGGAGGGCGAATACAAGCAGCAAGTTTTGCATGCAGTCTCGTTTTGACGTATAAAATAAATTTACTTGTGGATCCATTCGAATTTTTTTTCTCTGCCTCGTCAAAGAAAGCGTGGAAAAATAAGGTAATTTGTATAAATTCCAAATGGCGGCGGCAAGTGCTGCAATGTCAACCAGCCCCTCCCCCCCGCCCGAACTCCAATTTCGTTGCACTTGACAAACAACTATGACACGCGTCTGCCAAATAATCTCTTTTAATCGCACCTTCCAGTAAAGTCGATTATTTCCAAGGCCGATCCACGAATTTACGGCAGATCCACAAATTTCGAAAACTACTAACTTAGTCAACGAAAGAAGGGGAAGTCCGTTGTGCTCTCTCCTTCCTCTGCCAAGAAAGGTTTCCTTACGTCTTAATGATACTCACTACATTACTGCACCATCAGTGCAAGCTTTACTTGTCTTTGAAAATTTTTCTATGTCGCCTCACCTTGCTCATGATTAAGAAAGTTTGGGGATTATCTGGATCGCTATCAGAATAAAGTATGCTCTGTTAAACTGTTTCAGCAGTTAGCAGTCTTGACAGCTCTGTTCCTGAAAGCATCCAGCGTCTAATGGCAACAGGGTTTTCTCAGTGTAAGACCAACTTAAACACTCGAGCCTCTTACGCAGTAGTCTTGCTCATGAGCTCCAGGGAACGCGACAGCCATTTCAAACAGCACAGTTGCCCTAAATACAAACTCTTCTTTAACTGACCGAGACAACGATTTCATATCTCTTATATGAATGGGTAGCCACGCGTAATTCACATGATCTAGGGCAAAGGAAAGAGTTGCTAGTTCTTCCAAAACGTTAACGTTCTTGAAAAAGGTTTCCTGTCTGTGAGACCGGACAAAGATGCAAATATGAGTTTGCAGTCCGAGAAGAAGATACTTCAACTTACCAAATGTCGTTAAACTGCAAAAGTTCAAATTTTATTGAAGCACTCCATTCTTTCCTACCAAGAAAGCACCATAATTATAACATACCTTCTTAAACAGCGCCCAAGATTTGTCACATGCGTCTGTGGTGTGGAACATAACTCAGCATGTTTCACACAAAAATGCGTCTGGATCCACGCATTAAAATGTTTAATAGTCATTAAGAATGGTTGCCAAAGAAAACCGGGCAAAATGTTAAAAATGTCCACGGAAGGGGTCAACAGAATACGTTCATACTAACATCATAGATAGTTCTGGTGGAGTATTGGACAAATATACCAAACATAGGTTCTTCAGTGCTCTTGTATTAGAGATACGAGCATCACTTTATTCTGCCCCCTCGCGATCGGACGCTATTTTTATAAGCACATTTTCATCATTTTCTGAAACTCACAGAACCCTCAAAATTTAACAAGCGAATTTTATTTTTTGTATGCGATACAACCCATCACAGAACTACTTTCTAAAACCATAAGATTTGTTAAGTAGCCACGGACAAGACTAAAAGTTTCTTATTTTATCGGACCTAAACTCAGTATCTGCAAACGAGCAAAAAAATCGGGCATTTTTGAATTGATCTACAGCGCACAACTAAAACAACGGAACAACTCTGACAGCCAAATTGCAGTCTACTATCATCCATTTAACCAAAACACTAATAATCATTTTGGGCCATTTAAACAGGAAGAAATTAGAAAACTCACATTTGTTATAGTTTCCAAGCTTTTTCTTGTTTGTTCTAAGTCCTCTTCGTGAATTTTCTTTCATATTTCGCTGTAAAGTATGTTCAGCAGCTGGAGGACATATCAAAAAGCTCGAAATACTGCCTAGGTTACATTTTGAAAGGGTAAAAAGCGCTGAACGATAGGATGAAACTAGAAAATACAGTAACAAAGCGACGCCATCTTGAAAATTCAGCACTCAGGAGGGACTGGCACTAGTATCTAACGGACAAAAATTGTGGGCGGTGGATATTGCTTGCTGTAAAATTTGCAATAATTTTTATTACCAAACCGTTTACAAAAATAAACAGTTGAATCAGCGTGCGGAGCGGGCATTTTAGGCGGCGAAGCGGCTAAGAGAGCCAGCGGACGAAGTACTTTTTTGAAAGTAAGCCTTCTCAGTGATGATCTCATCGCTGTTACTTCGCATTCCCATAAGGTAATAGACCTGCGAATGTTGACAAGGGCCGTCAATATAAACCATTCATAGGGTTTACCAGAATCTAGTATACCAGAAGGATCCGGAAGGAGCTTTTGTTGAAAAGTACCTACGGCTCTCACTCCCTACCCCTTCCCCTGATTGTTTTTCCTTCTCACTTCTTTTTCAGTATGCTCTTTTTACCTGTGTAACCCGTTTAGAGGGAAAGTGCAAATTCTCTTACAGATTGCAGTACTGTTTGCAGGTCAAAAACTTCACGGTTCCGCGGGTCGCATGTAAACAAAAGGCGGATCCGTGCAAGTCTTTGGCCGTTTAAAAATTTGTAAAAGGGGTCATAGTGTTAACTCGAGTTGGTACCTTTTCCATTATATTGATCATTGGTAGAAGTCGCACACCTGGACGTTTACAGCCCCTGGGTTCCTTTTTGTTTACTGCATGGTGTAGCCGTGAAAGAATTGACATCTCCTACATGGGAGGCTACTCAGTAAAGCTTTATAACATAGCTAGAAAAGTCGACTAATCAAATTTGATAGCGCGAGCGTGCTTCATATTCCTATTGAGCACGCTGATGACGTCAATAAACTATTCGTAATTCCTCGAGTTGTTGTGAGCTTAGCAATCCTGAGTCTCCTGAGTGCATCCATAACTCAGCAATACTCGATAAAGCGTTTTCCATGTGTTTTATAAGGAAATTTAAGAGGAAACGTTTGAATTTGTTAACCGATAGTAAGGAAAAGAGGTGAGTGTTGTTGTTGTTGTCATCTCCGCGAGCTGTGCGGGGTATGGCGTGAGATCATTCTTGCAAAGTTGTTTTCTCTCAATAACAATTTTTCGGTAAATTAATAGTTTTCCGGCACCTAAATATGGATTTTACAATCATTTTAGAGTACACTTTCTCTCAGTTTCAGGATAAAAACCCAAGATTAACTGCGAGGAAAAAAAATATAGTAACGTAAACATTGACGCGTACTGCTTTGAGCGCGCTCTACAACAATGAAATTTTAAGTTAACTGATGCATTGATCGCTTTGATAATGTTAAAACAATTAGTTCATGCTGCAGCTGTGCGTATGTCGAGATATTGAGCACTTGGGAAGTTTGGAGAGCACTCAAGAGGCTAGAGTTGCAACTCTTACGCCTCTTTCGCGCTCTCCAAACTTCCCGCGTGCTCAATATCTCGACATACGCACGCTGACGCATGAACTAATTGTTAATTGTTGGGAGAGGCTTCGTCCCGAGGTCCAGTCCCTTACCCTTATATATACTATTTTTGACAAAAGGTACCCCTTTCATGTGTCTTCCATTGAAAAGTTGTACCCTTTTCATATATATCTGCTTCGTGAGAATAATCCGTAAGAAATAAAGGAGGTCTTCCGGTCATTTTCGCGTTACCTTTAACTGAAGTAACATATCAACGATATTGCCATAAGGCGTGTTTCTTCGAAGCATTTTAATAAAAGGCAGTTTAAAATACTTAATGAAAGATTTTCCCCTCCTTTCACATACCTCAACTTATGATTTTCCTACCCTTTATTTGACCTGATGTTTGAAAGAGGTACCCTTCGGGCGAAGCCTTCCGGACTATGAAAAGTGCATCATGAAATCATGAACAGGAGATGAGTGGACCTTCGGACATGGACGGTGATTGAACACTGACGCAAAAATAGATGATACATTAAAGAGTCCAAAGAAACGCTAAGACTTATTCGGAATAACTCAAAATGATGTGAATGAAGAGCAAATGAAGACTGAATAATTAATGCCAATTGGTCACCTGTTCACCACTAGACACCCCATAAAACGACAACACAAAACAAGCTAAATTTAACTAAAAGTAGTAATTGAAGAAGAAATAGGACTGTAGTAGGTCGCTGATAAGCCGGTTTGTTTGTTTGTTTGTTTTTGTTTTTCTATCTATTTGGTAATTCATCATCTAGTGGACAAGGCAACTACTAGTGCCACAGTCCCTCCAGAGTGCTGAATTTTCAAGATGGCGTCGCTTTGTTATTTTCTAGTTTCATTCTATCGTTCAGCACTTTTTGCCCTTTCAAAATGTACATAAGCTAAGTTCAATTCATAGAACTAATTTTAAAAAATCTGAAATAAATAAAATAATTACGTCGACCTGCTAGCAGTTTTTGCCATGAGAAAATTTCATTGGTGCAAAAAATTTTGTTGATAAAATTAAAAGAATCAGAACTTTTCGAATTTCAACTAGGCTTCTTTCTCTGGGTTTATAGCCTGCGAGAGCAACCGCTCAGCTCCCTGCTCCTCGCCGCTAGGGACGTTTCGCGCAACGTTCCCAGGGGCGGAGGCTGGCTGCTTTCACAGGCTTCTGGATTCATGTCGTATGACTGGTGAAAAGCGACACATAAATTGGAAGCCTCAAGAATGAGACGCAGTGTTTCATCACCAGATGAAACAACGAGAAGAGAGTTAAAGATACGACGCGCAACAGAGAATTTTTTACAAACTTCGAGGCGTTTCATCTGGTGATGAAATACTGTGTCGAATGGTTGATATTACCTCTCAAACAAAATGATTTTAGGAGATATTAAGGATGCAAAAATGAACAGTTTTTCATCTGATTTCCAAACACTCATGAAACATTAGCTTCCTTTGTATTTTCTTAAAGAATTATTAATGAGTTTGAAAAGTAACATCATCAATTTTCATATAAATAAATAAAGAAATAAATAAATAAAAATTAATGGCTTACACAATTACTGGTTAGTCCAAACGTTTACATTGTGGGTCCAAATTTTTCCTGAAAGTGGTCTAAATCTGTATATAGCCAATCCGGATTGTATTCAAACCTCGTTAGTCCACTCAGCAAGTGGGATTTGACAACAGTTTTGTTTGAGGAAATATGCAAAAATCAAACAGGAAACACAAGGTCGCGTGGCTAATATTTTGAATTTTCAATAGCTCGTTTTCACTGTCACGCAATAAACAAAGAAAACAGTCCACTGGAAGAAGCCAAGAAAATGAAATGTTACAATAGACTGATATATAAACAATTGTCCAAGTCTCAGGTCTATGTGGCCCACCGTTTCTGACTAGTATTTCACGCACCATTGTAGAGTTTTTTTTGGAGACGCCATATTTTTGTACAGTTTTGGTACACAAATATGGCCGCCGGAAATCAACAAAAACATCTTGAGTTCACTTTTTCGATAAAAGCTCTTCCTTTCCACCCGAAAGCTAGCATACGCGCGCATAAGCACATCTTTCAATACTTAAAATAGTTAAACTGCTGAAAATCAAGGGGAGAGGCTTTTTTTTCAACGAGATAGCATTCCTATTTTCTGTCACGCACTGTGAAAACTCGGAAATTCTACCTGTTGCAGTTTCGAAATGAAACATGCTACAGGACTGAAAACTTGTAAAGGATTTATTTTTTGTTTATCTTCAACCTTGTGTAAATGAGAATTCGTAAAACTTCGCTATTTTGACCTAACAATTCGATGACGTCACCGTGAAAACCATCTATTTAATAGTTTATGTCGCGTGACAAACGTAATCGCGTACAACACCCAATGGGGAACACAGACGCCGAAGCAAGCATGATTACTACAAAATCTGGTAGCGAGAGAACCACGGAAATGGACTGAAAGGATAAAATTGTGGTCTTAAAAATGTCTGCCATCGAATACAATGATTTGCTTTTCAAAGTAAGTCAGAGACTTAACGAATTGAATGTAGGTCGACGACTGCTTGTTATGTGCAGAGCGA